TTGATGCCTACTTTTGCCCTATCACAGAAATGAAAGTTGTAACAGAGACGAATTGATGGCATTGTTATTACATTTTAACATTTTCCAAGGATCTAGAATATTAACTAGCACATATTCAAAACAAAATCAAACAAAAAATACCAAACCTGTTTCCACCCAGTCGATTCCAACTCATGGTCAACCCGTGAGTTGCAGATTATAGTAGCTCAATAGGGTTACATTTTGACTTAATCGATTTCATTTTGTTAAGTGTTTGTTTAGCTCTAACCTTTTGTGGCACCCTTGGACAGCTTCTATAGGCAAATAGGTGAGAGCAAACTATTTATACCATCCAGGAAGCTTTGACACACAGAAAAAAACAACCACCATTGATGTTGACTCAATTCCAACTCAGAGCTCCTGTAAGAGAGACTAGAACAACCCCAAGGCTATGTAATCTTTGTAGAAACAGACTGTGACATCTTTCTCCCATGATGAGGGTGAGTTTGAACCACAGACCTTTCAGTTAGCAATACAGTGGTAACCATTATGCTACCAGAGTTCATTAGACACACAGTTGCTGTAGTGTGCTACTGAGTTGGTCCCAACTCATAGCGACCATGTATAGGGTTTTCTGAGAACAGCCAGTGGGTGTGAACTGCCGACCTTGTGGTTAGCAGTCCAGTGCTTTTTATAAAGTACCACAATAGTTATTTAATGAATCAATAAAGAAAAAGATGAAAAGATGTCCTCCTCACCCAATGAGAGCAGAATCCTGTAAATTTCCAGTATCACGTCTTTGTAGAGATTCTTCTGCTCAGAGCTCAGTCGCTTCCATTCTGCCTCCGTGAAGACCACGGTGACATCCTCAAATGTAACTGGTTCCTAGAATAAGCCATAAACCAATACACAGGAAATCACTGTCACTTTTCCCAGTGAGAGAAGTTTCACTGGTGGCCCTGAATCTGAGGAAATTCATCTAATTCTTTCCAGAGAACACAGTTCTCCATAGTAAGTTCTTCTGGACACGGTTGGTACCACACTCTGCAACGAAATCTGTGGGGAGCACCAGTGATGCACAAAACATATCCTGGCCCACAAACACATGCAACATTATTGAAGAAATGATTTGTGAATCAATCTGAGAGCAGTAAACAGAATTCAAGAAAACAAATTTCAGAATTCCTATGGAGGGCTACCAACACGAGAGAGTATAGGACGGGCTAGAAAAGAGCAGAAAGCATCCTGGAAGTGAGACTAGTGCGAGGCATTCGGGATAGTGAAGGTACTAAAGAGAGGAGATGGAAGGAAAGCTCGATTCTAGAGAAAAATGGGAGTTAACAGATGCGATTTGGAAGGAACGTTTCTGAAGAGTTCAGGTAACTAAATGTTGAACACTTTCTACCTGCTCAAGACATAGAATATAATAGGGCTATTGGGTGGAGAGTATGCCAACACTTCAGAAAAACAGGGACTGTCAACTCACCAGGATGCTGGCCTTCTTGTTCTCCTCTGGGTGCCACTCAGTAGCCTCAGATGATGCACCTACAGGGAGAAACAGCAGTTTTGAGAAAGCAGACCTCCCACAATTCCTAGAGTAGCTCTTCTCATTATGGGATAAAAGTAGTAGCCATTTTTTTCAGCTGTGGCCACAAATGCATTCTCACCTGAACCTTGAAGGCTACGTCCCCTTCTCCCTCTCTCCAGATCCCCAACAACGCTCACCTTTTGTCTTGTGTGTTTCAATCCATTTCTTCATGGTCTCCATATCTTCCCTGTTCTTTAAACAAACTCTTCTCCCAGTCTTGCTCTCCCCAGGCGGAAAGATCAGGCAGAGTCAATTTCAAGGGACTGCCTTGAAGTTCTGCCACAGGGTCACTAGGAAGGCATTTCATCTCCAGATGGATTTCTGCTACCTGGGGTGACTTCTTCACACTTCAGTTATGAAAATCCTTCATTTCCACACATTGGGGACCTGAGGGATAGAAAAGCAACTTGACGCTGCTGGATCCCTTATTCTGAACTCTACACCCAGGTCTCTTTAGAAGCCATCTGTTCTCTCACTCCTCCTCAGTCAACACTCACAGAGGCTCAGTCCAGGCTGGGTCTCTAGATTATCTACTTTTATCCATTTCTGTTCTATAAACCTCCAAAAGTGTTCCCTGGAACACTCCCTCATCTGTCAAAATGAACTGCGCATCTCTTGTCCCAGCACCTAAAATTCAACCTCCACATTCCAGATCAGTTTCTGGTACCTGAATCAGAGAGAAGACAGGATACAGCCCAATTCCTGAAGGCTCCTTGCAAACCAGTCAGGGCCTGCAGCAGACAGTTTCTGCTTCCCTGAGCCCAGTGTCCCAGCTGTGCTCACCTTCCTATGTTCTTGTACAATCTCAGTGCAATCCACAGTTAAAATCCCCATGCTTCTATTTTGAAACCTTATAGGAGTGGGCAAAAGAGCTTTATTCACTAGGTATAAGAGGCTAGACTTTTTGAGTGTGTGCCTGGGTTGGGAAGGGGGATTGCTGGCAGTTGAAACAAGACTTTACAAGCGTACGGGCACAAGATGGGGAAGTGGATGGGGCACAGGAGAGGCGGCTGATTGGACCAAGTATGAGGGTGCTGGGAGTGTGGCTTGTGGTGGCGGCAGTTGAGCAATTTAAAAAGGGTATAGGCTCTTAACTGAACTTCCCAACCAGCTAATGAACTCAAAATGAAATTCAGCCACCAGGATGACCAGAAGCAGCTATCCACAACAGAAGTAAACAGCTGAACACAAGAGCACAGAACAAAATCTTGCAAGTTACCACAAAATTTGGATTTTTTTTTTTTGACTTCCTTAATTTTTAGTATTTTCCCTCTCTTAAAGGACTACTGGTATGTTGCTATAGGATTAGCACTAGACTTCAAACCACAAGATTGGCAGTTCACACCCACCAGCTGCTCTTTGGAAACCCTGTATAGGGTCACTGTAAATCAGAACTGACTCAACAGCACTTAACATCAGTATCAACATGTACTGTATATTTACAGTATTTAGAAATCTATTATCAATTACTGATACATTTACACTTTGCCTAAAACCTCCAGCTTTTAAAGTACCTTTATATAATGAAGTTAACTTATAGAATAAGTTAAGATACTAGTTCCTGGTTGTTGTTGTTAGTGGCCATCAAGCTTTTCGGGCTCATGGCTCATTATGTCCAATAGAATGAAACACTTCCAGATGCTATGCTTTCCTCTTAATTATTATGGTGAGTTTATTATTTCTGTCAATTTATCTTGTTTAGGTTCTTTCTCTTTCTCACACTTGTAATTTCTATTGAAGTGTAGCACAAAAAATGCTCGCTAAACACACCAGTCAATAGTTTATGCCAGTAATTTGAACAAATAGTGGAATAGTCATCCTTCCCCACAAACTGTGTAAAAATTCAGATCTGCTGACTTCCCCCATGTTTAATTGTAATTTTTTACTCAATAAGCCCTTGGTGTTAAGTGTCTTACATTTATCTCACTTGTATCTCGACATGTGTTAAGATTATTTATGCTGATGGACAACCTATTTCTTTAGTTCAGAACAACAATAATATACAACATTAGTGAAAATCTGCAGAGCAGACAAATAGAAAGCCTCGCTTTGTCCTTGCCTTCCAAGGTAATCAGAATTAAGGGAATTATCTATTTGCAATAATTTTCTCACTAAAAATTAATTTGATAGAGCAAATCAAACTATTCCTCTTCTTGATAATCCAAGAGGAATGAGAATACTTTGTGTTATGTTCTGGATGTGTATTTTTATGTCCAAGGTGTCTGACATGAACTTCATTCACAATGAGCACTCTGGTTGTTGTTCATCTAACAAAAACTAGTTTGTTCTTCTATATACATAGTTCATGATATAGTCTATATTCTATGCCAACACAAACATTTCAAAGGCAGGAGAACAAACAAGATGGTAGATCAGGTGGAAGTGCAGTGAGGAGCTCCATCAGCAATAACACAGAATACAGGACCAAGCAGGCTCAGGGGATGGTCGCAGAACTCTGAACCACATATCAAGAAATATTTAGAAAGTTGGAAGGCTTACAGCTGGGGGAATTTGTAGCAGAAACAAGAAATCCATTGCGTTCTAGTTAGGGGCACTCAGCTGCTCCAGGAGCCACCATCTTGGGTGAGACCAAGCGGGAGAAGGATCAGAACAGACACCTGACAGAAGTGTAGAGATAAAGGTGTGGACATTCTTTTCTTTTGGTAGCTGTTCACTGGTCCCTTCATTCTGGTGATGACAGGGGTGCCTGAGACCACA